AAAAATTTTCTCTTTGAAATTCTGTATGTCTTTAACCATAACGTTTAGTCTCTGTATATATGTTCTGTTTCGTTTAGTCTTTAGTGTTCTATGTTCTGGTTTGTCAGTCCCGTAAGTCATTTCATTCTTTTAGTGGAGAAGCGGGGGATCGAACTCACGACCCCTTGATTGGTAGGCAGACAGTGTTACCACTGCACCTAGCGCCCGCTCTGAATAATAACTGTTTTGAAAGTCCTATATACATCATGTTAATTCAATGCCTAACAAAACATGTATTGCTATTAAATTTTAACACAATCTACCCACGTGACTTTTTATATATCGTCAAAAAGAACTATAACTTGATTTAAGTAATATTTTTATAGATAACTTTGCTGTTGCTTTTTAAAATACCTGGAAAATGTAGTTGAGGATGCCTAAAATTTCTTAGGTATATCAAATGGTGGGATAATCTTATTGCAGAATTTTCCTAAAACCTAGACTGAATTCCGAAATTTTTAAGAGCTGCTATGGTATCACAAGCACACGTACCAATCTCCCGATTTCAGACATTTAAAGCAAGTAAACGGGCTAATTTGCATAATGAAACATTTTAAGTTCCATGAGAAACTTGTCATCAATTCAATTTGACGATAAAAGAAAATTATATGATCAAAGCGCTGAAAGCACTGAATGCGGCAGCTTAAATTGGGCTATTATAACACAAAGTATGCAAAGAAAGAATGCGAAATATCATTACGTCATATTTGATAAGTGTCTTGTACATTTTTGCAGTTATGGTATTTAAAAGCCCTGAAGGTGTTATATTTCCTGCTGTTAAGTCAGAACAGAACTAACCTTTTCAGACACAAATTTGCATTTTAACCACTGTACAACTTAATGATCTAACACTTTACATTTCCCGTTATTTAAATACTTTGCTCGTTGAAATGCAGCTAGATATAAAACAAAAGACACATTCCACTAAACTTTCAGTAAAATTTTCCTTATTACAAACTTTCTTTAATACGGTTAGAATTCATCTGTGACGTAGAAGATTTAACTGCTTCACGGTTCCTGACAGAACATGTTGAAACTTTGTAGGTAGTAAGGTCCTGTTAAAGAGGCATGCAGCTCAAGGGGGTAATGAGTACTATGGAATACATGTAAAGTATATGTATCTTGATAACAGGTTTATATTTGAATGTTACAATCCATTTGTGTTGATTGCTTTCTTATTTATACATATTACATTTGTCCATCTTCTATGTATACTGCTTTACATACTGGATTGCAGGATTTCAAATGCATATATGTCATTACAAGGAATAGTATTGAAGATTGTTAATGCCGAACCGGTATTATTGCTCTTGTGGTAGAAGACAAATTATTGTCTAGAATACATGCTTTATAATGGTGTCAAATTATTTGTCGTTTATGACTTTATGACATATGCAAAATAAAAACTGTATATTTCGTTAATATAATATATTCTGTTTGATGATTCAAATACATTTATAAAACGAGAGGAAGGTGTGAGGGAAGGGGAAACCCCGGCATCATCCGGGAATGTTTAAGATATTTAGGGAAAAAGTTTGAAACTTTATTTGTGTTGATACTTGTCGCAATTTAGGGCTAAAAAGGATAATTTCTTTGGACTAAACTAAACTAAAAATTAAACTAAAAAGATTGAAATATATTTTAAAGTAATAATTATATTAACAAACTTCAAAAATGGAAATTACAATGCCTATCAAGTATCTATGCCAAAACAGAAAAATCAAAGTTTTTGTTAATACACAATTTAGCATGTATTTAATTATTATCATTTTTAGACAATATTATAAGATATACTTAACATAATTGATAAAAGAGCCTTTGACGTCTATGACCAATTCCTGGGGACTCTGTATGTTTAATACGATCACATCTTTTCTGAAAGTGATATTGTAGTGGTTTATTGGCCATTGGTGTAAATCACTTTGTGCAGTCTTGATGGTAAAGTTGAGATTTTACGTTACCGAATGAGTTAACAGTAAATATTTCTTCCATTAGAGATGATAATTTGCATCTTTCTATTTCTTTGTTCTTTTTCATAGTTTTACAAGTTATTTTTCGTCCTTCTTTTTGATTCTCGTAACGATTGATTACACGTGTGTATCAGTAACTGTTTTTTGTCAGTAAATCCAAAGATAAACTTAAGGTGAAAACGCATCTGCAATAAGTATTCAAATTATTTGGAAAAAAACTAAAATAGTAACGAAAAACGCAAAATATCATTTTTATCAATCAAGTAATTTAAAAATCAATCAGAAAGATATTTTACGATTCACCAAATTGTCTTGCGACATAGTAATAAATACGACTGGTAGTGTTGTGAAATTTAGAATGCCAAACATGTGACGTTTAAATTTCGGCTCGATTGCCATTTTATTACTATTTAAAACAATTTTAGTGTAGTTGCTTTTAAAGTTAATCCTTAAATAAGCAAGCAGAAATATACACATATTTTAAAATATTCACATTACAGTAAGCAAATCTATGAATAAGAATGCAATTAACATGCATACATTTGAAGCATTCAGAGATAAACATGTCATAACAATACATATAATTACGGCGGTAATTCCCCTCCGTATATAAATTGGTTGTGGGAGTACGATATAAACGTCGACTGCTTGCAATATTACCATTGCTTAACGGCACTGGTTATATAAACTAATAACTGTTAATACTGGGCCGTTTAACCTGCCTAACTTCTTCATAACTAATAACAGAGATAAGCAGTTCCCATATACTCCATTTAAATATCAGTCATGGCTATCAAATAGTGAAAAATTAGGCATTTTGTAGCAAATAAAACTTTATGGATGGACACTTGATCCTTTAATATTATATACCATTTGAAAGGTAAATCTTTTATCTATTGCTGCATGTTAAAATATTGGTAACTTTCCATGCATTTCACTAAGAAAAACATGACAGAACATACCCACTGAGCCAGTTTTTTGTCATAAATAGTTTTGTAGCAACAATTATTAAGTAGTTCTCTTTAAAAATTGATGTAATATTAATTTAAATGGGAACTGTAAATATTTTTACCTGCAGCTTGGACAAATGCATAAGCTTTCAGAAAATGTATTATTTTAATGAGTTTGATATCTGGTTAATAAGTTTTACTTGCTACAAGTTTTAAGTTTAGCAGGCACACGTGATATTTTAGCTGCCTAGGAAGTTGCCTATCTCTGTTATACATGTATATGTCTCTGCTAATAATGTAACGATTTGTTTTAAAGGATCACTGGATAGAAGCCGTCGGCGGGATTATACAACCAGCATCATTATTTAGAATAGATATATGGCAGGTACGACGTTTGATTTTTTTAGAAATATATTTTTTTTTTAAATAATTATGTGCAATGTGTTCAATAGAATAAGATTTTATAAATGCATCTTTGTGTTGGGTTATTTTGTCAACACATAGATTCTTACAACTTATAGTGGTTCTAATGATTACATTACTAATTTTGTTGAAAATTGTAGATTATGTAAAATAAGTATTTAAAATGAAATATTACTTCGCAAACGGAATTGGTCACCACTGATAAATCAGATATCAATTGTTTTGGGTTAACATTTCATTTTATCACCCTCAGCGCGATGTGATATTTAAATCTAGTCTACGAAGGCTGCACGACATTACATCGAACAAGTTTTGAATTTCAGGGAGGTCAAGACAGACCGATAGTTTACAATGTGCTCAAGTTTAACAGTGAACCTCCACCCCAAGATGTGTTTGATGTCGGTCAATGTTTTGTGGCATCTCAAAAGTACAGACTTCTCGTATATTTTGCAGGTAAAATGAAAAGAAATAAATCTTCGATTATATCTTCCATACGTGTCAAAATGAGGTTTTTCTTGAGATTTACACGTAGCGTATTATTATTCAATTGCATGGTTCTTACAGTATGTTTATTTGAAAGGAAGTTTTTTTTCTGGCTGTCATTTACGATTTACTTTAATTATATATATTCCTCTTTTCTTGAGAAATAAATAATAATAAGTCAACATTTTTTTACATGAATTTCTTTACAAAAGTTCCCAAGTTTGATATCTTAAGGGACTTGCTTAACATTTTATGTAGGTTTGAACCAACAACTTGTGTGCATAGTTTAAGATTATTTGCTCACATTTTTATTTTCAGAATGATCATTTTTGTTGTGCAAAATGGCACAAAAATAGTCACACATTTAACACAAATCGTGCTAAGAATCGCATGGAATTTTAATTTTCAGTTATATTCTGACTAAACATGAACTTCTTCATTATATCGTGCATATTTGTGCGTTCAAGATTTACAAACATAAAGCGGTGTCCGTGTCAGAGTTGGCTTGAAACCACTTGCCCCTTACCACTGTGAGTTCAAATTCCGCAACGAACTTTTAGATTTGTTTGTATGTGAGGAAGGTATGAAGCTTGTTCGTGCCCGAGACCAGGCACGGGAGGGCATCCAAGGTCTCCCTCCATCAGTAAAGCCAGCAAGTTGCAAATGACCTTTACAGTGTTGGTGGGACGTAAAACACAACCAAAAACAAAGAAAACAAAGTTTCTTCCCTTTATGATATACCATGGACAAAAAAGATAACGTAACAGTCGTGAAGGGTCCGTCCTTTTCTAAACTAATTCCATTGTTATTGTTTCAGTGGTTAACAATGGAAGTCTGGACACAGTGAGCTACAGTTATTTAAAAGAGACGCTTCATTCACGTCTTGTTACAGCAGCCTTTCTTCCGCCGTTACGTCTCTCAAAATTATCTGTAAGTTTTAAGATAATTTCAGCATTTAACAAGGTTTACAATTTTTAGAATCGTGATAATTAGATTGGCAAGTGACTGGCAGGCAGGCGTCAAACAGGAGGTTTTCGGTTGATAACTACAGTTCAGAATAAAACTGGGGACAAGGTCAGTGTCACCCTTACTAAAACAGAAAATTAGTTTCTGTTCAATAACTAGAGTTAAGGATAAGATACTGTAATCAAAATTGATGTATAGCAAGCATATATTGAGACATCCCTTTAGATCGCTTCAAGGTCACTGTAACTTTAAATATATTTTCGACTTCAATTGTTTGTTTTCGAACTAGAACAAAGATCCCCGGCATTGTAATTATTGAAAACCTGGTGATGTGGCATTACCCTTGTGACATTGCTATGTTTTTTTTAGGTCAGTCGATCTCCTTTTTATTCGAATAAAGTAAATGATTTATGTTTGGTATATACTTTATGTTAATATTTCATATGTTAAAATCATGCTTAATTTTATGTTGACTGTAATATAACTATAAGCCTTATGCAGACATGCCATTGTATTATATTTTTTAAGACAAATGTTTATGTCTTTGACAAATCTTAAATTGAAATGATTCATCTAAAAAAGGTTATATGCAATATTACACTTAATCATCGTATTATACTCGTAATTATGTGCATGTTTTGCTGTGCTATTTATAGATTGAATTCGTGGGGATAAGTGACGTATATGTTGACGCCATGTTGTTGGAGAACTCCCCTTTGACAAACCCTAGGATTGTCCCGCCTCCGCGCCAACAACACACAATGGAAGCCGCGTATGAATTCTTGAAGGGTCAGATTGGCGGAAGGTTACGTATAACACTCAGTAGTACCACACATCAGGTATATTATAGATTTTTTCCCATACATGTTCCTGTTCGAATAATTTTCGATCGCATGCTTTGTTGTTGTTGTTGTTGTTTGGGATGGGTAGTTTTTTCTCTTTTGTTTGTAATTTCATCCTTGAGTTATATCGGAACATTAGACTAAGATAAACGTATCAATGGTTTTTATAAAAGAATAGATAGGAAATCATATATTTTGTTTTGTCTTAAAGCAAAGTGTAAATAAGATAAGGCAATCATTTATTACAAGGACTTGTGTTTTAACCACAGGTGCTAGTGGCATTGATTTGACCTAAAATGTGTTTGACATTGTTATTTATACAATAAAATATCAATATATTAAAAAAAAAAAATATTTTTTTTTCACTGTTATATTATTATAGACAAGGTATGCAACATTCAGGTACGAAAATTATGGGTACGCCGGTTATCTGTGTTAAAATATTTCACCGGGCGGTAATATCGTCGGATTTTGCATGGAATCAATGCACAATATATTTTTCTATTACAACTTACTATTTACAGATCCCCAATTAACCGCTAGTTAATGTTTTAAAGCCCCAAAGTAAGAAATCACCCAGGTCCGAAAGATGAGACCGTCATGACATGTACATTGTAACCTGGTATTTACGCTTGAAATACATCAACAAAGAGATCAAACGGGTCGAACACATATGCACACAACTGGATTTTACATACTTTTAAATGGTTTTATCCTCCACGAGTCGAACTTAGTCCTATGAGCCTGTATTTAAAGAAATATCCTACATGTAGACGATATTTTTAGAAGGTAATTCCTACCGGAAGTATTCTCCGGCCTCCGTTTCACATACATTGACAAAGAGCGGAACAGGGAACCAAGCACGTGTTGCGGGAGAACACTTCCGATTTAGGAATAACCTTATACATGTAGAATTTTTCTTAAAATACGGGCACATAGGACTTAGTGCCACTCGTGGAGGATAAAACCATTTAAAAGTATGTAAAATCCAGTTGCTTGCATGTGAGTTCGACCCGTTTGATCTCTTTGTTGATGTATTTCAAGCGTAAATACCAGCTTACAATGTACATGTCATGACGGTCTCATCTTTCGGACCTGGGTGATTTCTTACTTTCGGGCTTTAAAACATTAACTAGCGGTTAATTGGGGATCTGTAAATAGTAAATTGTAATAGAAAAATATATTGTGCATTGATTCCATGCAAAAATCCGACGATATTACCGCCCGGTGAAAAATTTTAACACAGATAACCGGCGTACCCATAATTTTCGTACCTGAATGTTGCATACCTTGTCTATAATAATATAACAGTGAAAAAAAAATTTTAATTTTTTTTTAATATATTGGTATTTTATTGTATAAATAACAAGGTCAAACACATTTTAGGTCAAATCAATGCCACTAGCACCTGTGGTTTTAACAATATTTACAAAACTATATAAATAATTATACTATAGTAATGATAATAACACCCGGCCAAATGGGCTTATAAGTAACCTTGCTGTCTGTTGGGGGTTTCTTCTGCGTGTGCATATACAAATGGACGCAAGATTTTAAGTCACTCGATTTAAATATATTGTCTCTGTAGTCTGAGATGAAAATAGTTTGAAAATGCACAGTAATTATCATCTTTTTGCACATAACCCAGTCCAAAATGTCTTGTCTTATTTGTTTATTATAGTAATGTAAAATAGGTTATTCGAAACATAAACATTTGAACATGTATTTACATTTAACATAGAGCAATATTTCAATAAAAATCTCTAGCTATGTATGTTTATTAGTGCTGTGTGTTGTGTTTGTAATGTGTACATATTGCACAGCATGTCATGCGAAAGACGAAATCACGAATGTTTGAAAATATACCGTGCATTATTATACCAGAAAACAATCAAATTCAATTGTAACGATGATACCCTATTAAAATTAGCTGAAATCAACACTGTTGAAATTTACCATTTGCAAAAATGGTTTAAGAAAAAAACAATGTAAAAAAAAATGTTGACTGTGTAAATGAGATGGAGGCTCCAGGATTCAGGGACGAACGAAATATGCGCATCGTAACATAAATGCATTATATAAAGGGCGGGAAAAACGTTTAGTGCGTTTTTTATTTAATAACAACGGACGTTTTGCAAGTTTTTGCGTATATAACTATATGACGATTTTACCCCGGCAGTGTTAGACTAACAAAAATACTAGCCGATTTTGTGTTTTGATGTAATGTTCATTTTTTTCAAGAAAACTGTCATACTTGAAAGTCGAGGTATTTTAAAAATCGACTACAGTCAAGAGTTTGCGGCTATTACTACAACCTCTACGACATCAACAACAGAGGCAACTCCGCCACTTCCGGACATACCCACCACAGCGAAACCATTGGTTCCAACAAAATACAATACACCGGACACATTACCCACGCAAACACGTGAGTTTATAAGCATTTAATAACTCCTCTTAATATAAAAATATTTGCATTTCAACAATCCCGCATTTTAACTTAAGTATAGGTAAAAATGTAGTTGGTCTTTAGACGGTGATAGCCTGTCATTATTGTTAAGGACTTTTCAACTTAATGCGCAGGTTCACCAAAGAAACAAACGTTACCGTCATCGACACTTTTCCTGAATTGGAATGCTTCGGTTTTACCTTGGCTTTTACTAGTAATTTTGTGTTTTGGCTTTTGTAAATGTCTTAAGTTATTTTTCACTTCTTATACATTGATGGTACATGTGCATCATAAACCCGCCGAATATACCTTCCTGTGGAGTTCTATCTATAGACATCCGACTATAAATACGACGGATATACATGTAGAACCTCATCAAAGAGAGGCTGTATATTACATGAAACGATGTCCTACTTTAGTGACAATCTGCTACAAATTAGTACATGAATGAACAAGGATGTTTTATTTTCATATAGTCAAATCGATTGTACTCAGTAAGTGATATATAGAAGGAAGTTAATTTAACACAATTTATAAAGATTTAACTACAAAATATGAATATTATGAGAATTGTATTTTTTTTTAATTCCAGCGTGTACGTGCCCTACGCCGAAATGTGCAACGCCGTCAAGTTCCCCATGCCCAACATTACCGTCCAGCACACAAACGCAATGCCCAAAAATAACATGCCCTCCTTCAACATGTCCCACGGTAAATAATCGTGGATGTCCCATTAAAACATGCCCTACACCTCAACCATGTGCATCTTGTCCTACCCCTTCACCTTGTCCTAAACCAACAGTACCGTCAGCTTGTCCGACACCTGCTCCAAGCTTGTGCATGAATAAAACATGCCCAGTGACTACTCCATGTCCCAAAGTAACATGTCCGAAATTGACTTGCCCGATACTGTCATGCCCACCAACCAAACCTTGTATATCTGTTCCCTGCACTACGAACTGTCCCACTCCTCCAACAACAACTCCGTGTCCAAACATTGAAGGACATCTAGGTCATCAGCAAAGTCAACAAAGTGATAGTGACTCCGGAGTTAAAGGAGGTTAGTTATTTTAAATATTGCATTCTATGGAAATAAATGAATTAACATAAATGAAAATGAAACTTTACTATCATTATACAAACGGCACCAGCAAAACTATTAACTCTAAGCAAATCTTAACAAAAAGTAATTCCTTAATTTAATATGACAACACCACCATTTAAAATCGAGAAAGGTAAGGTATCGATATAGGTTTTGAAGGTTTTTATTTTAAAGTATATATCTTTTATCGCTTTGATGGGGAAAGAAATTGTTCATATGGAGAATTTAACTGGTTAACTCAATATTAAACAATTCTAGTTCTAATACAGTGTTACAAGTACAAGTTACTCCTTTGTTCCCCCATTTATCGTTCTAGGTACTGATTAAAACTTAAGACTACTAAACCTTAGCCTGTTAGATGTCTTAAATACAAGGGGCAGGACGTGAAGTGGTTGCACACTTGGTTCAAGCGAGCGAATTGGTTGCAAACTTGACAAAATGGCAAACACGGCGTGATTTTTTGAAACGGGTGAACGAAGTTTTGCCAGGCAAGTTGGTTTCTTTGTTATTTTGAAGTTCATTAGTATGTCTATTCCATAATGCAATATATATGCCACACTCGGTTAAAGGTTTCAGCATCCTAGATTCTGTTTTGACGAAGTTATTGAAGATATAAACTGATCATGTAGATATTTTGAAATTTGACATGTGACTGTTCTGGTCGCTTTTTTTCCTAATTTATTCGAATTTGTAAGTTTTGAACTGCATTTAACAATAACAAAATATGTTTCTGTCAATGCAGTACAAATGGTTTAGTTCGCAAGTCCGAAGATAACATTCAATACACAAAAATATATTGTTCAAGCACATTTTGGTTGCAGACTTATACTTCAAGCATTTTTGGTTGCAAACTTTTGTGTCAATAATGTGGCATGAGTATTTTTAGCGAGGAATAACTTATCTTTTTTTTTAAAAAAAAGCAATATTAAGGCAATTATACCCGTTCATCTAATAAGAAATATATATACAAATTGTGCATGCGTGCATGCAGATATATCCTAACACAGGGTCTTTCAAATAGATATATAACACAATATGCTAAATTGAAGTTCACAGTTGTGTTTATCTTCATCATTTTTTCTCCTCGATATACTTCTTTTCTTTTTACATAGTCTTAGGACTTTTTTATCTTGGCATGATTAACAGTAAAGGAAAAGAAGAAAAAAATAGCAACAAACAGCTTTCATTATTGTTCTTTTTTTTTTGAGATTTGAATAGTAGATACAAACTGCATTGACACAAGGGCATTATTCACATGTTTCTTTAAATTGTTTCTTATTATTGACCAATCGAAACATCTTCCAAATTCCCTTACTCGAACAATGACTTTAAGTAATTTTGTCACATATCAGTCAATGTAAATTACCAATCGTATATCAGTTATATTATGATCTAATAGTCAAATAATTTTTAGAATACCAATTGACATATATGATATGTACATCAAATCCGAAATATTGTAGACAAGCATGTCATTTTAACTTGGTTTATAAGTACATTTACATACGTTATGTCTAAAGCAACTGCTGATCTTTACATACGAAACAAACAAATAACATTTATTGTGGTTTTGATAAACTTTGGAAATTTTGCAGAGTAACATCGTATGTGTGCACATGTCCTTCTGTTTATGATGAAAATAATTCACTTACATACAGCAGTACTCTCACATACGTTTGTTTTGTATGTAGTTTTCATTTGCATTTTACATATGATGACATATTTTAGAATTGAAGTATCAATAAATATTTTTCTTCTATGTGCTATTATTTTGTTTGCAGGCTTTTACTGATGATTATAGTATTGAACTGAGGACCATGTAATTTGAAACATAAAATGCATAGTTGTTGTAAAAGAAGAAAGTATAAATAACATTTATAACAAAAACAAGTAAAAGAACATAAATGTCAATAATTGCCATTGAAAATAGGTTAATAAATATAAACTACTACAATCCTTTTGCAAAGTTTTACTATGGATTTCAATAGAATAAGAATAAGTTTGCAACCAAAAATGCTTGAAGTATAAGTCTGCAACCAAAATGTGCTTGAACAAGATATTTTTGTGTATTGAACGTTATCTTCGGACTTGCAAACTAAACCATTTGTACTGCATTGACAGAAAACATATTTTGTTATTGTTAAATGCAGTTCAAAACTTACAAATTCGAATAAATTAGGAGAAAAAGCGACCAGAACAGTCACATGTCAAATTTCAAAATATCTACATGATCAGTTTATATCTTCAATAACTTCGTCAAAACAGAAGCTAGGATGCTGAAACCTTTAATCGAGTGTGGCATATATATTGCATTATGGAATAGACATACTAATGAACTTCAAAATAACAAAGAAACCCACTTGCCTGGCAAAAATTCGTTCACCCGTTTCAAAAAATCACGCCGTGTTTGCCATTTTGTCAAGTTTGCAACCAATTCGCTCGCTTGAACCAAGTGTGCAACCACTTCACGTCCTGCCCCTTGAAATAGACTTTTTCAGTTTCTAGTTTTTGAACCTTTTTTTTTTGCAAATATTTAGATGAAAAATTGTATTTGATCTGCTTACAATATATAGACTTTGGTCAGACAGGCTGGCCTTGCTCAATACTGATGGCAATTTCCATTTTGGTATATGGTATAGCAACATTATAAAAATAACACGTCTGTCAGGGTAATAGTGCATATAAGCAACCTCCCCCGATGGTATTTTTCAGTTAAAGGGCTGCTTATGTGCACAATTACCCTTACAGACATTTAGTATTTGTTATTATACCGAACCAACATATTAATTTTGTAAAACATTTAAAAAGAGTAACGAGTTTACGCCAGCAGGGCGGCCAGCGGAGAGGACTCGTACATTCCTTTTTCTTAAAGTCTTTATACATTACTCGCCCTTGGGAAATATTACAAAAATATTGACTAGGTGATATTCATTTCGAGGATGATATATAAAAAAGCCATGTGACGTGACATTATGCTATATAGTAAAAGGTTTAGGTGAGATACTAGTATAATATGACATAATATCGAATAGGTGGTTATTGTTTATTCATATATTCTATTATAGGTGCAGTTGCCGGAATTGCGATCGTGATGGTGATTGTCGGCATTGTAATAGGATTTGCTGCAATAATATTGTATAAGAAATTTAGAGTCGTCAGCCCTGATAAAAGAAATATTATAGACAGATATCTTGATGACGAAGAAAGATACTAATAGTGGCGAAAGAGTTCGTGATATAATATATAATGTTATATAAGAAATCAGACTTTTCAGAAACTTGAAACATGAGTCATTGTGTTTGCGTATATTGTGACGTGCAGATCTGTGATATTGATGTAATTATTTATATTGCCAATCGGCAATTTCCGTGAAATTCCCTAAAAAGTGTTGTTTTAATTTCCCGTTCTTTTTGTGTGTGTTGGCCGTGAACCTTGATGCATGCGTCAGGAATATTTGCTAAAGACAGAATACTTTAATCCGTGAGATACTTGACCAGAATCTGTCTATATTGTGACAAATTTGGAGACTAAGTGTCAATTTAAGTGTTATTAACAATGTATGTCAAAAAGGTTAATATTTCATCTCTATGTATTTCTTTCTCTATGTATATAAAAATTGTTTTGAACCGGAAACATTTCATTATTATCATTTTCTTTGCCATGTAAAGGACCATGGTATTATTAAGTTTAATGTTTGTTGTCTACATTTCCAATAATAAAAGCGTTGATTTTGAGAATACATCGTTTGCAATTATTTGTCTTTTTCTCTCCATAAAAGGTCGGGCGAAAGTTGGCATTATAAGAGAAATATTTTTATTTGTCTTTTTCTCTCCATAAAAGGTCGGGCGAAAGTTGGCATTATAAGAGAAATATTAAAATTATTTCATAAATCGACTGCAGCCGTTTTTTTTGATTATATAAACATCACGATTATCTGATTCAAAATGACGTTACAAGCCCATTATATATAAATTTGAAGAGTGCTATATATTCCGTTTATTCACGTTACGATTATCCTATTAAAATCGACGTAACAAAGGTGCAGTATTGTAATACATTAAATACAAGTGAACTTATGTTATTTTTCAAATCTCAAGATGTTTCAATATTGTCTTTCTAATTGAACCGATTTTCTTTTTCCACCTTTGTAAAAACAAAAGAAAAAATATCACCTCTGGGATATTGGTCTTAAGGTCTTTGCTATTTGTTGTTCATTAAATTAGAAAAACTGAGCAGTAACGTAACACTCTATTTGGTCGTCTGTAAATGTTTAACGTGATAATATCGGGCCCCTCACTTAGATCGTGAGTTTCTCACGTCCACGTCTCGTAACCGTTAGGGCTCTCCAACAACAGAAGTTCACTTGCCTTTGCACCTAAAGTAAACAACTTTGTCAAGTAGAATGTATTATATAATGTACATTGAGTCATATAATGCCAAGAATATGGGCATGGAAAATGTGATATTCACCAAGGCTTTAAGTTGCATATACTTGGGTTGTCACAGAAATCATCGTACAGTATGACAAGAAGAAGGAAAATCTGCGTTATGGTAAATTTAAAGTTCTCTGCGGATAACTGCAGTCTTGTCAAACAGCTGCGCCTTTCCGTGATAGTCAAGTGTTCACAGTTTATGTCGATAACTATAACAGTTTTCAAATTATTCTACTTTTTGACGAAAAAGAAATTCGAAAGGGGTATTACTTCAAAGATAGATATATCTTTCTAAATAATGTTTCTTGTCTTCACACAAGATTGTGCCATACCATAAGGAAGCAGTATGTCCAGAATATTCTGTTTGTATAAACCCAACACAACTACTATATACTAGAATCAGATTGTCTGTCTGTCTATTTGTCTACCCATTGGAGATACTGAGTTAACTTGATAGATAGATCATGTATGTCATTGTTGTGGAATGTAGTTCCAAGCAACTAACTCTATTGCCTGTTGCAATTTGAAAAGAAGATTGTGTTTAATAAATGAAACTGGCTAGGTGTTACTATTTCAGCATTAGTATGATGTTAGATCATATTACATGTACGTCAATTTTTATTATAATATTTAGATATTGTTACAAACAATATTTCGCAGCATTCTTCATTATCAATTGGAAGTTTTAACAAAACTTATGCAGAGTTTATGCACATTTTCCATCCAAGTATGTTTCTGCCCTTTTGCGGGGAACAGGAAAAATCTTCTCAACAACAACTGAAAATATACCAGAATTCGATCATTTCATTATTTGCATGTATCAATCACTTAATTCATATAATAATTTTTATTCCTTTTATAATTTTGGGACTTTGAAAAAGATACAGATACATGTCTTAAACAACAGCACCGCTAGGCGGAGCATTATATGCCCGAAAGTGTTTTTTTATCGTAAGGATGAAGCATTTGTAAGACATGGGAAATGCTGTTCTTCTATAAAATTTAACAGCTGTAGGTTTATTAATACTTAAGTTATTGAGCAGAAACTGTTTTCAGTTTAAGGTAATAGTGACCCCAAAATCAATAGGGGTCTTGTACCCAATATGGACAATCATCCTATGAAGTATGAATATTGCGGGCCAAATGGAACTTAAGTTATGCTCTGTAAACTGTTTTCAGTATTAAGGTAATAGTGACCGTGACCTTTAACCTTGTGACCCCAAAATCAATAGGGGTCTTCTACCCAATATGGACAATCATCCTATGACGTTTGAATATTGTGGGCCAAATGGAACTTAAGTTATGCTCCGGAAACTGTATTCAGACTAAAGGTAATAGTGTCCTTGACCTTTGACCTTGTGACCCAAAATCAAAAGGGGTTTTCTATCCAATATGCACAATCATCCTATGAAGTTTAAATATTGTGGGCCAAATGAAACTTAAGTTATGCTCTAGAAACTGTTTCAGTATTAAGGTAAAAGTGACTGACCTTTGACATTGTGATCCCAAAATCAATAGGGGTTTTCTACCCAATATGAACAATCATCCTATGAAGTTTAAATATTGTGGGCCAAATGGAACTTAAGTTATGCTCTGTAAACTGTTTTAAGTATTAAGGTAATAGTGACCGTGACCTTTGACATTGTGACCGAAAAAATCAATATGGGGTTTTGTTTCTAATATGCACAATCATCCTATGAAGTTTGAATATTATGGGCCAAATGAAACTTAAGTTATGCTCTAGAAACTGTTTTCAGTATTAAGGTTAAAGTGACTGACCTTTGACCTTGTGACTCCAAAATCAATAGGGGTCTTCTACCCAATATGGACAATCATCCTATGAAGTTTGAATATTGTGGGCCAAATGGAACTTAAGTTATGCTCTGTAAACTGTTTTTACTATTAAGGTAATAGTGACCTTGACCTTTAACCTTGTGGCCCCAAAATCAATAGGGGTCTTCTACCCAATATGGACAATCATCCTATGAAGTTTGAATATTATGGGTCAAATGGAACTTATGTTATGCTCCAGAAACTATTTTAAGTTTTAATGTAATAGTGACCTTGACCTTTGACCGTTTGACCCAAAAATCTATAGGGGTCTTCTACCCAATATTATTAGCAGGAGAGGGCATATTCGGTAGGCGGGATGGTAGAAAATCAAAGTGCTGCAGCACTGAATGCGACGGACATGCAACCGGAAAAACATTAAGGCTTTTTTTTAGGAAAAAAAAACACAAAAGGTATAACAGAGAAAATTTGTTCCATACAAATTCGAGACTTGTAGAGCAATATATTTTATGTGTCCCAATCTGATATAATTAAGATTTTCTACTTTCAAGCAGAACAAGTCCAAATTTTTAAATACAGAATTAAATTTATGCCTTAAAACTCTGGTCAAACTTGTAAATCAGTGTCCTTATCGATTTATTCCAAGAAATGATATGTTAATAGAAAAAAAACTGTCAACGAAATATTTCTAAAATAAAACCATGCAAATAAACTTCAAGCATAATACATAATACATGTAAGAATGTTAATTATAATTGCTTCGTATTATATCATAGTGGGCATATAGACAATAAAATATAAGTCATTTGTATTTCTATTTCTCTTGGATATGTCTCATTAAAAATATTTTTGGTTAAAATCATCAGCAATTAATGGTGTATTTTTTTAGAATTTATTTTTCATTTACAAGGTTAAGATGTAGAGGTCACAGCACATCGTTTTTATTTTAATTTAAATGTCACTTAAGCACTACAGTGTTTAGTTGTCCCTTTCAATTCCACATTAAATTCCATTTTCAACTTGTTTGCTTCTTACAATTGTATAGAAATTCTTCAAGTATTGCATGTAAACAAAGTAAGTATCCGCTGGTTTATTACATGTATAATGTGTACTCCCTAATCGCTTGTCCGAAAGTCAGCACAGGTGATGCAGAATCTATTTTTAGAATAGTGTTGGCTATTATAATCTCATAGCAGGTTAACTCATATCGTGACCTTGAAAATTATGTACAAAACACAAGAATCGGAAGTAGAACTGATATTATAACTTCCTTCAAGAAAGATTACCATGAAAGACTACACGGTGGTAAAGTGTTGATCCCATGCATTTTAAATCAAAGGGCTGCAAGCTCTGTGGTATTTTCTGATCTTTGCAATCTAAATCATACTGACTATCTGCATGTATTTTCTTGTATAAGTTTATTTTTATATACTATAATTCATCTTACGCAGCGACTGCGTTTAGATTTTTTTCTATAACAGTTTGAGATTGATACATATGGAATTTTGCATGACTAGAGTTGCATCAACAAAATCATTTTTCATTTTTTATGACAGCCACACTTTATCCTTGCATATCGTGGCTACTTCCTTAAAAACGACACTTAAAAAAAAGTTGCCTCGACTAGGATTTGAACATTATGCCTCTCACACCCTAAACGAGCGCGCAACCTCTGCACCACGGGGAAGTAATACATATGTAGCTTGAATAAAAACAAATTAATTGTAATTCTAAATTGAGAATTTCCATTTCGTGTTTGTAATCCTTACTAATTTCGAGGTATTTTGTTCACGATAAACCTGTTGTTTAACACTGATGAAAATAATTTAGCGAAAATCTTCTCGCCGAAACAGTCCGGCATGTATATATTCCACTACTCGACAGTCAGATTTATTTGTGTACTACGCTCTGGAGTATTCGGTATTCGACATAGCTAAAAATAGCATTTTTATTGATTAAGCTTTACGGAAATAGCCGAACATTTTTCATTGGGTAAAAAAAGATATTCATCCGCGAAATTTGTGCTTGTAACCTCATTTCTATTGACTAATCTAAACTTTTAATGCACTGTAATTCGTTAAATGCCTACATTAAAAATGATTCTTTCTTTTAAATTGCTGTTTTCTAGCAGTTTTGAGTGAGAACTACTTTTCGTTGTTAGGTCTGTAAGGAAATTTTGTGTTAGACCGTGGATGTTAGCTTTGTATTTAGTGATCTTGCGATCAGAAAATACAAAAATAGATATTTATAATACTAACCATTGTACTGTAGTCTAATTTATTAATAACTGCTGCATATTCAGCTAAATCCGCGGTATGAGTCACGGAAAGAGTTCTTCTTTTATTAATGCGCGAGTTATTCTAGTCACGAAAAACTTTTGACCTGTTAATAAAAAATGTTTAATGGAGAAATATTTATTTCCTACTAATAATTTTTATGAATTATTGAGCTTACTCATCAATTATAGCATAATTTGCTGTCCTACTTTTTCGACAGCGCTAAATCGTTTCAGCAG